GGATCGGGGCTGGGGCTGGGGCTGGGTCTGAGCGCTCCGTGCCCGCAGGTCGCGATGGCGCTGGAAAGCGGCATGAAGTGCGTCAAGTTCCTGGTGTTTTTCTTCAACTTCTTGTTCTGGGTGAGTCCGGCCCGGGATCGGGATCGGGATCGGGATCGGGATCGGGCCCTGGGGCGCGGGGGAGGCTGCGACACCCTCCCTGGCAGCTCTGCTCGCCCCCGGCTGCCCCCGGGATCGGGAGCCGGATCCTGGGGGGCGAGGCAGATCCGGGCCCGGGAGGAGGAGCCCCGGCCTGGGGGGGGGGGGGCCATGGAGGGCCCACCCCAGCCCTGGGGGGCAGGAGCTCCCGGACCCCGGGGTGGGGAAGGGCCCCCACAGGGCTGGGAGCAGCTCTTTCCTGCCCTGCCATCGTTAGGTTTCAGGGGTAACAGCCGAGCACCCGCGCTGGGTGGCAGCGTTACCTGTACCCCCACCCTGTCCCCCAGGCCGGGCAGGGGCTGGGGGTCAAAGGGCTGGGCAGGGGCAGCCCCACTGGAGCTATTTGGGGAAGTGGCAGTGGGGAAGGAGCCGGCCCTTGATCAACGGCCCTGATTGCCCAACGTGGAGGGGAAGGGCCTGGCTGGGGGGGTCTAAGGGAAACCCCGTGTCCTGGCTGGGGGGCTGGGCCGCCACGCACGGATGTGACCCCCCTCTCCAGCCCCATGGGGCTGACGTGGCCCCGGGGGTGGCACATCCTGCCTTGTACAAGAGCCAGGACCTGCCGTTATCCTCGTGCCCTTGCATATGAGGGCCTGACTACAGCCCGGCCCTGGTACTGCTGGGGGCAAAGCAGGGTCATGGCCCTGGCTGGGGGTGGGGGAGCATGACCTGGAGCCCCTTGCTTCCCCATGGCCTTGGGGACCTCTTTCCTGGGTGGGGAAACTGAGGCACAGAGGCAGGGCTGGGGCAGGATGGCAGTGGGGAGAAGGGAGGTGGAGAACCCAGGAGTCCTGGTGCTTGTTGTACCCACATGATCCCCTTCCCTCCTGAGAGGGAACCCAGGCGTCCAGCCAGCCTGGAGGAAGGGGGCCTGGCTGGAGGAAGTGGTTCCCTGGGCCAGGCTGGGCCTGCTCTCCTCCTGGGGGGCTGCTCCTTGGTAGGAGCTTGGTGCGAGGGGGGGCTGGCCTAGGGAAGCCCCCTGTCGTGTGTGTCCATCTGTCCCCCCCACCCGCCAGGCTAGCTCTGCCTTGTCCCCCTGCGGTGGCCTCTCCCAGCGGGAAGCAGGAGGAGCCGGAAGCTTTCTCCAAGCAAGCAACCGCGCCCGTCCCCCATCCCGGCCTGCAGCGCGCAGGGAAACCAGGGACTGAACCGCCTGGGGTGGCAGGCCCGGCTCCCCCCAGGGTTGCGGAGGGGGTTGGGCCCTGGGGGTGCCCCCAAGCCCACCTGTGACCTGGGAGGGGCCAGGGGGGTCAGAGTACCCCCGGGTCCTACCCCCCGGGAGGGGCAGGCGGGTGCCTGAGGGCCAGCAGTTCCTTGGAATTCCCCCGGTTTGCAGTCGCTTCCCGCACGCACACGTGTGTGCATGTGAACACACCTAGACACGCGCCGGGTGCCCAAACACACTGGACACGTGCCTGGTGCCCAAACATGCTGGACACGCACCCAGCGCCCTCCAGCTTGGGGAGCTGGCAAAGACCCCACAGAGCCCTGCTCTAATGGGGGGGATTCCCTCCCTTCTCTTTCCTCTGGTCTGTGTGGCCAGGGTGGGGTTGAACCTAGGTGTCTGGGCACGATCTCCAGGAGGGCAGGGCTGCAGTGCTTCCCCCCCTCCCCACACCCTATTGCTGTGGGTGGCCTTGCCCTCCCCAGAGGTGGGCGCATTGCAGCTCCGGGCTGGTGTCGGTTCCTGACAATTTTCCCCTCCTCCAGGTGTGCGGCATCGCCCTCGTGGGCCTCGGCATTTATGTGCAGGTGATGCTGAACAAGTCGCTGACCATGCATAACCTCTCGGCCTCGGGCCCTGCCATTGTCATCATTGCTGTTGGCGTCGTCATCTTCTTCATCTCCTTCTTCGGCTGCTGCGGGGCCTGGAAGGAGAGTTACTGCATGGTCACCACGGTGAGCGCCTGGCCCCGGGCTGCAGGGCAGGAGTGAGGGGCACTGGTGGGTCTGAGGGGGTCAGGGGGGCTGCAGGTTGGGAGTGAGGGCCACCGGTGGGACTGGGGAGGCAGGGGGCTGTGGGCTGGGTGCGAAGGGCACCAGCTT